CAGCTCTTCCACGAACTTCTCCCGCTCGCCCTCCAGCACGAAGTTGTCCTCAACCTTGAGGGTGGGTTTGGGGACATTTTGGGGGATGACACACGACACCCCACATTAATTTGGGGGGATTTAGGGGGTGAGGAGGAATTTGGGGGTTTGGGGGAGGGGGGGGGTCACCATGTAGCAGGCGATGTCCTCGGGAGCGTCCCCATCGGCATCAAACTTGAAGGTCACCATCTTGCTGTCGTGGGTCTCCAGCTGACACTCCACTGTGTTGTCCCCAGGGGACGAGACCTAAAGGGTTGGGGACATGAGTTATGGGGTGTCCCTGTCCCCCCCCTCAATAAAAGTCCATCTGTGTCCCTCCCCCTCCCCGCCCCCGACCTGGAGGACGGTCAGTTGGAAGCGAGGAACCCTCTCTGGGCGAGGGCAGGAGGCTCGGCGTTGCCGGACACGGTCGGGTTTGGCACCGGGAGGTTCGGGGACGGTGGTGGCCTCAGGGACGCGGAGGAAGGGCACCGGATCTGAAGGGTTGGTGGCAGACGGCGGGGGATCGGCGTGCAGGGACAGGTCTTCGGGTTGTGGACCTGCTGGGAGGGTGGGGAGCTGTGGTGGTGGCATCCCTTGGGTTGGTGGCATCCCAGATGTTGGTGGTGGCATCCCGGATGGTGGTGGCATCACTGGAGCTGGTGACATCCCCATGGTTGGTGGCATCCCGGATGGTGGTGGTGGCATTACTGGAGCTGGTGACATCCCTGGAGCTGGTGACATCCCCATGGTTGGTGGCATCACCGGAGCCGGTGACATCCCCATGGTTGGTGGCATCCCTTGGGCTGGTGGCATGCCAGACAGTGGTGGCATCCCAGATGGAGGTGGCATCCCCACGGTTGGTGGCACCCCTGCAGCTGGTGCCAAGCCAGGTAGCAGTGGCATCCCCACAGCTGGTGGCATCCCAATGGTTGGTGGCATCTCTGGAGCTGGTGGCATCCCTGTGGTTGGGGCCATTGCCACGGTTGGTGGCATCCCTGGAGCAGGTGACACTCCCACTGTTGGTGGCATCCCTGGGGTTGGCTGTGGCTGCATGGTGGGGATTGGCTGTGGTGGCATCCCAGCTGGTGGTGGCATCCCTGGAGCTGGTGGCATCCCTGGAGCCAGCTGCGGCTGCATGGTGGCTACCAGTTGTGGTGGCATCCCTGGAGCCGGTGACATCCCTGGCACCAGCTGTGGCTGCATGGTGGGGACTGGCTGTGGTGGCATCCCTTGGGCTGGTGGCATCCCTGGAGCTGGTGGTGGCATTGCTGGAGCTGGTGGCATCCCAGTTGGTGGTGGCATCCCAGTTGGCGGTGGCATCCCAGTTGGCGGTGGCATTCCTGGAGCTGGTGGCATTCCTGGAGCTGGTGGCATTCCAGTTGGTGGTGGCACCCCTGGAGCTGGTGACATCCCCGGAGCCAGCTGCATGCCGGGCACCACCGATGTCATCATTGGACCCGGCGCCCCAGGAGCTGGTTGCAGCCGTGCGACCACCACTGATGACATCCCGCGGCTCTGCGTCACACCGACCCCCGGCTCCCCGTCGATGCCGGGTGGCTCTGGCACTGCTGTGGTGGCACCTCCAGTGACATCTGTTGATGTGCCCTCCACCCCGTAGGTGACCTGGGGGTCAAGGTGCTGCGGTGGGCGGTGGTGCCAACGGTCCCCAACCCACCCCGGCGTGACGGGGACTTACCGGCACCTGCAAGGGGATGGGACGGCCACAGGTAGGGGATGCCCCATCTTGGGGGGGTCCTGGTGACCCTCGTTGGTAGCACCCAAGGAGCTGTGGTGTGGGCTCAGGCGCCCCAGTGAGACAACAGGTGCTGGTGGCATCTGAGATGGGACCGTTCTCCAAAAGCCCCTCGCCTGCTGAGGAGCAATCAGGGATGAGCAATTTTGGGGGGCCACCAGCCATGGGGTGGAAGCTGGGAATCTCACCAGCAGTGAGGGGCTGTTGCCGGAGCAGCTGCTGACGGACGTGTTGGTCCACCTCGGTATCCTCATTTTCAGGGAGCCCCCGACCTTCCGCTTGCTTCTTCTCCCGTGTCTTCCTCACCAATGTCAACCGGTCTCGGATGGATTTGGCGACGGCTTTGGAGTCGCTTTCATGGAAGAAGCCGGATTTCACCTGGTTGGGGGAGAAAATGGGGTGTTTGTGGGGAGCAGGTCGTGGTGAACTTGGAGAACTGTTGGCTTTGGAAGGGTTGAGGGGCCAACCGTAGGGTTCATTGGTGAATTTTGGGGTGTCATTGACTTTGGAAGGGGTTCAAGATGAAGTTGAGAGGCCAACCATAGGGTTCATGGTGAATTTAGAGGATCGTTGGCTTTGGAAGGGGTTCAAGATGAGTTTGATGGGCCAAATGTGGGGTTCATGGTGAATTTTGGGGTGTCATTGACTTCAGGAGAAGTTTAAGATGAATTTGAGGGGCCAACTATAAGAGTTCAGGCTGAATTTTGGGAAGTCATTGACTTTGGGAGAGGTGCAAATTCAACTTGAGGGGCCAACCGTTGGGTTTGTGATGAATTTGGAGGTTCTTTGACTTCGGGAAGGGTCAAGACAAGTTGGAGGGGCCAAGCCCAGAGGGGTTTTGGGGTCCCCCCCGAGGGTTTTCAGCCCCCAGACGCCACCCCTGGACCCCCGCGCCACTCACCATCTCATAGGCCACCTCCTCGGGGACATCGGCCTCCAGGTTGAAGCTGAACTCAATGGCCTCGTTGTCCTTGTGCTTCCCCTTCAACTTCTTGGGGTCCTCCACCCAAAGCCGGAGTGCCAAGGAAGAGTCGAACCCCCCGTCATCCTCTGCCAGCTCCACGCGTAACCCCGTGTCCTCGGCGAAGAAAGCGTGGTTCAGCAGGTCACGGATGGAAAGCCTGCGGGCGACGGCGTGGTCAACAGCAAGGCATCACCTAGGAGGTCCCCATGCGGCACCCCCGCTTCTCCCACCTCTCTGCCTTGTTCTGCCGGATGCAACCTTCGATGATCTCCTTCACCTCCAGGTCCGTCACCTTGTCAAAGCTGGCCGGCTTGATACCCTACAAGAGGAAGAACCACGGTGACAATGCCACCACCATGGTGGTGGAGGGTGTTGGCACACACCGGCAAGACCGGGAACCCACGCTGGTGACTTTGCGGTAGATCTGGGCAGCGTTTTGGCACTCGGAGTAGGGATATTCAGAGGTGCCCATCTCCAACATGCACATCCCGAAGGCGTAGACGTCCACTGACTCATCGTAACGTTCCTCGTACATCTCCGGTGCCATAAATTCCGGCGTACCTACGGGATGGTTGGTGAGACCCATCAACTGGTGACCGGTGGGCGCGCTTCGGCACGGCGGGTCTTACCGATGACGCTCTTGGCGAAGGAGGTCCGCATCAGGGTGGCCAAACCCAAATCACCGATCTTGACAGAACCCGTGGGGCCGGTGATGAAGATGTTGTCACACTTGAGGTCCCGGTGAATGATGGGTGGCGTACGGGTGTGGAGAAAGTGGAGACCCTTCAAGATCTGCCGGCACCAGCTCCGTAACACCTTGGGCTTCATCACCTTGAACCTCTTGAGATACCTGCGGGACAGGATATGCTGACCCGCCGTCATCTCCCCAGCTTTGCCATGCCCACGTGCCGCAAAACACTGTCACTTACGTCTTGAGGGTGCCGGAGGTCATCAGTTCAGTGACGAGGACAATGCACTTCTTGCCCTTGACCGTGGACTCCCAAGAGTCGTAGAAGCGGACGATGTTAGGGTGCTGCAACCCCTTCAGCATCTCTGCTTCTTCCTTGAACCGTTGTTGCTCCACCTTGGTCAACTTGCGGTCCTGGTAGAGGTGGGGGGGGGGGGGAGGAGCAACGTCAAACCCACCCCAGATTCAAGGATCATCATCATCAGTTGCCATCACCAGCCAAGCTGAGTGGCAAACCCCATCCTGCCACGCCGCAAAGCTCTTTCAATTCCCTGCAGACCATTTGCTGCTCGTTAAAAGAGGCCGTAATTAATTCACCGTGGCCTCGTGCCCAACATCAGGAGCTGCCAGGATTCACTGGTGCCTTGGGATGATGAATTTAAGAGTTTCGGGAATTAATTTTGAGGGTACGTTGAGGAATCTGGCAACTTAAAAGGGTAAATAAATTTGGCAGATAAATGGACAAATTTGCGGTGAATTGAAAAGATTTAGGGGTGCTTAGAAGGGGACCTTGCACATGGGTGTAGCATCAAGGACTTTGGAAAAATGAACGTGGGATATATTGAGGGGTCAGAAGGGTTAAACGAGGGAATCGATGAGTTGGAGGGGCCAACTGTAGGGTTCATGGTAAATTTGGGGGGGTCATTGGCTTTGGGAGGGGTTCAAAATGAGTTGGGGAGGGCAACCATTGGGTTCATGGTGAATTTGAGGGGATTATTTGGTTTGGAGGGAGGTCACTGATGAATTTGAAGGGCCAACCATAGGGTTCGTGGGTGAATTTGGGGGGGTCATTGACTTTGGAAGGGGTTGAAGATTAACTTGAGGGGCCAACCATAGGGTTCATGATTAATTTTGGGGTGTCATTGACTTTGGAAGACCTTCAAGATGAAGTTGAGGCATCAACCATTGGGTTCATGGATGAATTTGGGGGTGTCACTGACTTTGAAAGGGGTTCAAGATGAAGTTGAGGGGCCAACTGTTGGGTTCATGATGAATTTTGGGTAGTCATTGACTTTGGAAGGGGTTGAAGAAGAGTTTGAAGGGCCAACTGTAGGATTCACAGTGAACTTTGGCACGTTGTTGACTTTGGAAGAGCTTCAAGTCGAATTTGAAAGACCGATCACAGGTTTCCTGGGGAATCATTGACTTTGGAAGACCTCCACGAGGAATTTTGGATACCGCCCGCCTTTTTAAGACCGATTAATTAACCCACCCCCCTTTAACGAAGCCAAGCCCCGGCCTCCCCAAAAAAGGGACCATTTTGGGGGCTCACCTGGAGCTCACACCAAGCCACCTCCACCCAAGTATCGGTGTCGAAACCCTTGAAGACCGTCTTGAAGGCTCCACGTCCCAACTCGATGTCGAACTTGAGGAACCTTCCCCCCGGCGAAGTGGCCACCGCCTTCATCTCCGCTTCTTCTTCTGCTTCCTCCCTTCCCCCGGCAGCCCCCCGAAATTCGAGGTCTCCCCGAAATTCGAGATCACCCCGAAATTCGAGGTTTCCCCGAAATTCTGGGTCTCCTCCATCACTTGGTGGGTCTCGTTCTTCATCCTCCAATAACTCTACGCTCTTCCGGAAGAAGCGTTTTGGGGGGGC